CACAGCTACCATTAGGTTACTAAAAATACAGACCTTTGCCTCTTGCTTTTCGTTAAAATTTATCGTCATGCTTCCGAAAACAACTGGATATTTTTCGAATTTTTTTCATCATTACCTAACTTGAATGGAACTTGCGCGGAGCCCACTGATCAAAATATTGCGGCCTCATTCTTTGAGTAACGCAATTTAAGATCGAGCACGAGAGAGATGCAAATTTTATTCATGTAGTTACAGCGTGTTTAAAAAAAAAATGCAGATATTATTTTGATCAAAAAGGAGGGAAAGAGCAAAGAGATCTACAGAATTTTCGAAAGTTGTTCCCTAGGAGACAGCGTGAACAACGCGTTTGAATAATTCATATCCCAATGAAACGTTTCCAACTCACACTACAGATATTTAGTTCGGCCAAGTTCTGCATGGAAATGTTCGATAGTAGTATGTGACAACGATAACACCATTTTAGGTTTATTTTCTGGAATGATAGCGCAGTTTATTGATTTTACATAGCTATTCAAATTTCCTTTCAAGCGAGAAGGCAGAGCTTCTCGTCTGTAATGCAAACGGAAACTTGTAGGTCAACAAGAATGCGGCGTGCGATTTTAAAATCTCCTCTTCCCTGTTACAATCTCTTGATTGTACACTATGATAATAAACAATAAAATTAAAGACTAATCAATGTTTATTGCCGTAAGAAAGCCATATTTGCCTACTTTTTAGCAAATCTCCTAAATAAACGACAGAAGGGACAAAGGGTACGATTCTCCAATCAATATTTCGCCTATATGCCTCTCCTTAATCGTGAAATTTCCAATTTCTACCGAGAATCTGGAAAGTTGCTTACATTTCTTATGTTCTTTGATGAATTATCTTGTTTAACGAGCTATGAAATGATGGTATACTTGCCTAAATAACTGCCTACAGCTAGAATTGCGTGACAGGTGTAGTTGAGAGAAGCTTTCACAGTCGCAGATTTCAAAAGGCATTCCAGACAAAAATATGGGAGTGCCCAAAGATATTTTAATGATTTTCAGAGATAAAATAATGGAATAGAAAGGGGTGTTGAAATTAGTGTCGTAGCTTTCTGGCAAGGGGAGATATTTGATCTCAAAGTTACCAAATATTTGAGTGAATCGAAAAGTGTAAAAACACACTACTTTATTCACCTCTGTTGATTGACAAACCGTCATTCAAATGGATTGGAACTTGTGTAGTGCGTTTATAAAGGATGTACCAATATGTATGCAAACTATCACAGTAATTTGTTAAATACAGTTGCAGTAAGAGCTTTTTACATTTTACCTGTTTTGAAGCCATTTTTCAGTGAAAACCTAAAAAGAGCAGGGGGTAGTCTATCTCCCCCCGGAAATGACCAGAGCAGAAACCAGTTTGTCATTTTGAGTTTTGGGGTAGATCCTTTGAACTGGCAAAGTTTCATTGAAATCGGTGAGATGGCATGTATCACGACTGCCTGGTGCTCTCGTGGACACGT